GTCGCGGGGGGGAGTGGGGGGGGTGGGGGGTGGAGTGGGGGGAGTGGGGGGGGGGGCTCCGCTACGCAGGAATGCGCCGAGGGAGGGAGGAGGGTAAACAGCGACACGGGCAAGGTCTCGGCCTCCCTGCCCCCCACGACGCCCCCTCCCCCCCACCCTCCTCCCCCCACCCTCGCCTCTACCTCTCCCCCCACTCCCACGGTCACCGAGGCCGCACCTGACCGAGCGCAATGGATGGAGCTGTGATTTATTTATCATCAATATATAGTGATAGGTTTTTACCCTTTCAACTGATACAAAAACTGACACCTTTATACAAGGCATCATGTTTGCAATAACCACAACACAAGCAGTCAAAATGCAAACAAAAAGAAACAACTCTGATGATGATAATGATATGCACTGTCCTTGAAGTTGATTGGTCCACACCCGAGACAGCTTTTCTTAGAACCTAGTCTCCATTGGTGTTGGACCAGATGACGCCAAAAGGCGATTACTATTCATCATCATATCAGCAGCAGCGGCCGTGGTCAATCCACTGCTGGATGATGAAGGCCTCCCCATGTCGCCGCAGCCGCCGCCACCACCTCTCCCGATCCGCGCCGACTCCGTCGCTCCGTCTCCTGAGCGGGCTTCGTCCTCCCGGGCGCGTTCCGTCCCTTGGCTGCCAGCTCCATCGTTGCATCGTCCCCTGTGGCAGTGACGCGTCCTACCCTGTCCCCCCCCCCCCCCCCATAATTTAATTGATATTTATATCTCATCGACATTTCTAGATCGATAACTCATTCCTTTAGAACTGCGTTTCGTTTGTTGTCTCCCCCGGACCCCTCCCTGCCCACACCTCCGATGAGCGCGGTTGGCTACGTTCAAAATGCCGACACAGATCTCGGTACAGACAACAACACCCGTGCCACCCGAACACCGACGCCAATTCCGGGACTGGTGGCAACTCGGGCTGGTGGATGAATGAGCGTGGCGAGTTCGCGAGCGACTTGGCCAGTGGATGAGAGGGTGGGCGAGTGGGAGGGTTGCCACCTGTTCGGGTCAAGCCCTACCACCTACTTGCCCACTTTCATGGCATTATTTTGGTGATTTGGAAAAGTGTACTGGTTTAGCCATGTTTGTTTGTTGTAGTACAGAGTTAGACTGATGACCTTAATCTAAGTTGTCTTGTTGTTGTTGTTTTACTTGCATCCCACTGGGATTTTTGCACGCAGCGTCGGTGTACGGTGTTTTTTCTGCAATATTTTGCTGTTTTTTCTTGGATTTTCTGTTTGCACTCTATTCACGTTAAGATGTTTTTTTGTTCATGTTTTTTGTTTGTTGCGATTGCACCTGATTCAAGAGCCGAATGGCTCACAGGGCTATACCTAATAAATGAACTTGAACTGGAACCCAACAAGCAACACTGGACATCATACACACACAGAGCGCCTTCACTCGTGGCGATTGATGATACAAAACGGTGACACAATAGAATGATTTAGGGGGCCTGCTACTAAGACCGAGTAATGAGTGACAGCGATAGGGGGTACTGAGGGATCACGAAATAGTCGGGGAGGGACGGGAAGAAGTGGAAGGGCGAGAGTGGGGGCATGGGAAGGGCACGGGCGATGGAGAAGATGGTGAGGCTTTAAGAGAGGAACGGGAGGAGGCTAAGGAGAGGGGACTTGCTTCATGTACGGTCTAAACGATGCCTTTGACCACCCCAGGGTTCTCTAATCCGCGTGCCCTTCGGCCCCTCAATGCAACCCCAGGCGCGCGTCTCTCCGAGCTTCTGCGCTCACCGATTCCACTTTCCTGAGTGTCGCAGCAGACCGATGCGGCCATCCCCACTCTGTCATGGCTGGGTACGCCCATAAACAGACCCCGTTTAAATTTCGATTTAAAGCTTTCGTGACTGCAGGGATTCATCTTCTTGGTTCTTTCGGTAAAGTCACGTAGAATGGGAAAATAATAATAAATTCTCACGACGTTTCGGCCATAACGCAAGCAGCCGTCCTCAGGTGGAGAACAGGTCTGTCGAGAAGACAGAGTCTGAATGAGACTCTGTCTTCTCGACAGATCTGTTCTCCACCTGAGCACGGCTGCTTGCGTTGTGGCCGAAACGTCGTGAGAATTGCATTTTATTATGTTTTATTTTTATTATTTCCATTCTACGTGACTTTACAGAAAGAACCAAGAAGATGGACCCCGTTGACATCACACCGTGTCTATCACGTGCGAATGTCGATCATTTGCCGGTCAGTGGCGGCTATGCACGTGACCTATGCACTCTGTCCCACAAAGAAGGGACGGATTATATCAGTCCACACTTGGCGGGACTGCACTCTGCTGGCAAGGCGGGGTATCTGGTGGTGGGAGTTGCGCGACATGCGCGCGTGTGCGGTGATCCATCCAACCCTCGAAGCTAACCTCCACGGCACGGTTGAGTACGTACGGTGCGAAAGAAGTTTCAATAGACAGTACATAACATACACAGCGCCGGACCACAGGCTGGCTACGAGCAGCAGCAGCAGCAGCGTGGCCACTACGGCGACGGTGGCGTTCGAGCCGCGGTTTGGGGGGCCAATGTCGGCCCCCCCGGAGCTCGACGAACACTCCCCGCGGCAGCCACGCTCACATTGATGACGACGGAGAGACGCGACGTCGCCGGCCCTTGCGTCCAACGCGGCGGTCGGTGATGCCGCCGCTGCCGCCGCCGCTGCTGCGTTAGGCGGTGGACACACGCGAATAATGGGCGACGTTTCAGGAAATGCCCCCTTTTCAAATGAAGGGCCATTGAAGAAGTGTCATTGCCAGAAACGTCGAATGTGTTTTGACTTTGAAGGCGGCCTAGTTGAATAGACCAGGGCTAGAGTGACTAGCTAGTGAGATAGACCAGGGCTAGAGTGACTAGCTAGTGAGATAGACCAGGGCTAGAGTGACTAGCTAGTGAGATAGACCAGGGCTAGAGTGACTAGCTAGTGAGATAGACCAGGGCTAGAGTGACTAGCTAGTGAGATAGACCAGGGCTAGAGTGACTAGCTAGTGAGATAGACCAGGGCTAGAGTGACTAGCTAGTGAGATAGACCAGGGCTAGAGTGACTAGCTAGTGAGATAGACCAGGGCTAGAGTGACTAGCTAGTGACATAGACCAGGGCTAGAGTGACTAGCTAGTGAGATAGACCAGGGCTAGAGTGACTAGCTAGTGAGATAGACCAGGGCTAGAGTGACTAGCTAGTGACATAGACCAGGGCTAGAGTGACTAGCTAGTGAGATAGACCAGGGCTAGAGTGACTAGCTAGTGAGATAGACCAGGGCTAGAGTGACTAGCTAGTGAGATAGACCAGGGCTAGAGTGACTAGCTAGTGAGATAGACCAGGGCTAGAGTGACTAGCTAGTGAGATAGACCAGGGCTAGAGTGACTAGCTAGTGAGATAGACCAGGGCTAGAGTGACTAGCTAGTGAGATAGACCAGGGCTAGAGTGACTAGCTAGTGAGATAGACCAGGGCTAGAGTGACTAGCTAGTGACATAGACCAGGGCTAGAGTGACTAGCTAGTGAGATAGACCAGGGCTAGAGTGACTAGCTAGTGAGATAGACCAGGGCTAGAGTGACTAGCTAGTGAGATAGACCAGGGCTAGAGTGACTAGCTAGTGAGATAGACCAGGGCTAGAGTGACTAGCTAGTGAGATAGACCAGGGCTAGAGTGACTAGCTAGTGAGATAGACCAGGGCTAGAGTGACTAGCTAGTGAGAGAGACCAGGGCTAGAGTGACTAGCCAGTGAGATAGACCAGGGCTAGAGTGACTAGCTAGTGAGATAGACCAGGGCTAGAGTGACTAGCTAGTGAGATAGACCAGGGCTAGAGTGACTAGCTAGTGAGATAGACCAGGGCTAGAGTGACTAGCTAGTGAGATAGACCAGGGCTAGAGTGACTAGCTAGTGAGATAGACCAGGGCTAGAGTGACTAGCTAGTGAGAGAGACCAGGGCTAGAGTGACTAGCCAGTGAGATAGACCAGGGCTAGAGTGACTAGCTAGTGAGATAGACCAGGGCTAGAGTGACTAGCTAGTGAGATAGACCAGGGCTAGAGTGACTAGCTAGTGAGATAGACCAGGGCGAGAGGTCTCGGCACGAAGCCTGCGCCGCCACTCGCCGTGGCTCCACATCGCCACCCCGTGGCCCGACCCGGCACTGCCCCGGCACAGGCGGCACGGGGCTCACGCGACACCAAGGGTGGCACAGTCGGGTGTTTTACAATCGGGTTTAATTGTCTTTTTATATTAAACCCGATCATCTGAGATTGGGAGAAATCCGGTGTAATTGGTTCTAATTGCAGAACCGCACTTCGACAACTTCTCAACGATGGGCTTCATCCATTCCAAGCGAAGGAACTCACTGGCGCCCACGATTGTGGAGAAGCTCGTGTTCATCAAGACCAACCTGCCCGCCGCATTCGACTACCCCGTGCCCGACGGCCCCCCGAGTACGATAGCAGCACCGACAAGGAAGCAGCCTTAGCCTATCAGAGTTTCGTATGAATTAAACCAGGTTTTAATTCCACGAAATCGGGTTTAAGTGTATTCAAGAAAAAAACCCGATGCCTGCCGCTGGAAAAATCGGGTTTTTTCCACCCATGCGCAACACAGACCACTTACACCTTCATCATGGGACCTCCTTTGCCAGTATCAACATATGAGAATAGGTTTTTCCCCTTTTTTCTGGCAACAAAACAGCTGTGTTAAGATGTTAAAACACCAAACTGAAACCTTTTACCAGGAATCACGTCTGCATTAACCACAGTACTTGTGGTCAGAAAACACACTCTGATAATATCTGCATCGTCTTTGAAACTGATTGGTCTACCACACCAGAGACAGCGTTCTTTCGAGCCTCGTCTCAAACGGAGTTAGACCAGAAGACGCCACCAGGCTCCAAAAGGGGAGACGGGGGTCGTCACCTCTCGCAGCCGCGGACCGCTACAGGGCAGAGATGACCATCGAGAGACGGAAGCGAGTGCGGTGGAGATCACCGAGCCCGGCGGAGCTCGCGTTTTAATCGCGACAAAGTTCACGACGACGACATAAACACCACGCAGACAAAACGGCGCTGCCCGTGGTCGAGTGCCGCTCCACCGAGGAGGCCTCCCCCCTCAGCTCCACGAAGCACCAAGGGGGGTCATCGACGGTGTCGCTCGTCCAGCCGGGGAAAGCCTCGTCGAATCTCGGGAATCACCTCTGAGGGAGGCTCCCGCACACGCTCGGAGGACGTTTCCGCCGGATTTTCATTTTTAAAAAGAAGCCACCGAAAACGCTCCGCAAGCGTCGTCGTCCGCAAACCTCAGCGCTGCCCCCTTCTTATTAAATAAAGATTTAAAACAAATCAAAAGCCGCGCAGTTACAGACACGGGACGCGTTGAGTTGTTGTCGTCGTCGGCTGCTGTGCTTGTGCACCGCTGCCAACGCAGAAGCAGCAGCAGTGGCGGCGGCATCGTCAAACGGATCTTTTTCATGGAGTGTTGCGCTTCATGTGGAACGGGACCGGAGAGAGCCCGGAGAAAACCCACCCACACCATCGGGAGTCGAAAGTCGCAAATGGGTTTTGATTCCGTACCTGTACCCGGCCGCACCAGGGTCGCAAACGGGTACCCGTACCCGGCCGGGTACGGGCAGCCGGGTATCGGGTACCCGGGTACGGGTAGGGTATGGGTATCGGGTACCCGATTGCGACCTCTGGGATGAAGCCATGTTGCAGGCGCGGGTGGGTTGATTCTAGGACTTGAATTGTGAGAAGAGACAAGACGTTGGGAAATGAGTGACAAACGGTTACTCACCAGTGACTCACGGTCAACCCGTACCCGTACCTGGCCGCACCAGGGTCGCAAACGGGTACCCGTACCCAGCCGGGTATGGGTAGCCGGGTATCGGGTAGAGTACAGGTATCGGGTACCCGATTGCGACCTCTGCCGGGAGTGACGCACGGGAGGGGGAGGGGGGGTGACAACCCACTCTGACGTTGTCCGTCCAGACGGCCACATCCTAGATCCAAGGGGCAGGGGAGGGTTGGGCGTTTCGTAGATCCCACGCGTGATTCACCAACCCTCGCTCTCCAAAAGCGCTGGATCACAGCCGCGTGGCACCGCGGTCCGCCGAGGTTTGAGCCGGTTTGGATAAACTCTAAATTCGTGTAAAAGTGTGGTACACGCACGTGCACGCGCGTTGTGCACGAGGTGCATGTGTCCTAATTGTCTACGTGAGTTACACGCCTGTGTGTGCGTCACACCAGCGTGTTATGTGCGTGTACATAGCTGGTCCCTTTGATCCCAATAGGGTGAGCATCCCCTGGATCCCGTCATCACACCTCGCCACAAACACTCGCACGCCACACCACACCACAGACACAAGCACACCTCAGCGCACCTTACCACTAACACACCTCAACACACCTCTACACCTGAGGTCCAGCCACTGCTGAAGGCAGAGATAATTACACCCCGTGTAGTTTTGGTCACCCCATGTCTGCCCCTGTAATCGTTGTTTCCCCTCTCTTCCCGCGTCTCCCCCCCCCCACCCCCGTGTCTACCCCCCTACCCGCGCCGCCCGCATGTGAGATGCGATGGCTCCCGAGATCTCCGGCGCTCGCTTGTTCTGCCCAAAATACTCGGCAAACGACCCGTCCGGGCCCAGCAGGTACATGATGATGGTGTGGTCAACCTACACGCCGCACCACACACCACGCACCACACACATTATACACCACACACACCACACACATACACCACACACATTATACATATACACCACACACGTTATACATATACACCACACACCGCACACACACCGCACACACACTACACACCATGCACCACCCACATTATACACCACATACACCACACACATTATACACCACATACACCACACACATTATACACCACATACACCACACACATTATACATATACACCACACACCGCACACACATTACACACCATGCACCACCCACATTATACACACCACACATAATATACCACACTACACACATTACACATATACACCACGCACCGCACACACTACGCACCACACACATTACACACCACAATCCGCACCACACGAGAGCAATGGAGTGATGATGTGAAGCCGTGACGTTGTGATGGTATGACGTCTTCAAGGTATGACACCGATCGTGTGATGCTATGATATTGTGTGACGATATGCCGTGACGATATGATGTCATAAGTGATGGTATGATGGCAAGTGATGGTATGGCGATGCGAGTTATGGTACAATGACGTAATATGACGTCGTGGGATTATGACGTCGTGAAGGATGGTATGACGTCGTGAAGGATGGTATGATGTTGTGAGTGATGGTATGATGTTGTGAGTGATGGTATGATGTCGTGAGTGATGGTATGATGTCGTGAGTGATGGTATGATGTTGTGAGTGATGGTATGATGTTGTGAGTGATGGTATGATGTCGTGAGTGATGGTATGATGTCGTGAGTGATGGTATGATGTTGTGAGTGATGGTATGATGTTGTGAGTGATGGTATGATGTCGTGAGTGATGGTATGATGTCGTGAGTGATGGTATGATGTTGTGAGTGATGGTATGATGTCGTGAGTGATGGTATGATGTTGTGAGTGATGGTATGATGTTATGAGTGATGGTATGATGTCGTGAGTGATGGTATGATGTCGTGAGTGATGGTATGATGTTGTGAGTGATGGTATGATGTTGTGAGTGATGGTATGATGTCGTGAGTGATGGTATGATGTCGTGAGTGATGGTATGATGTTGTGAGTGATGGTATGATGTTGTGAGTGATGGTATGATGTCGCGATGACTCACAATGTAGTCGTTGTCCTCGTCGCGGGGACCCTGGCTGTAGTAAACGCGGAAGGCGCGGGACATCTCATTGATGGCGTCGGCAGAGCCAGTGAGACCAATCAGCTTGGGAGAGAACTCTACAAGACAAAGACACGATTTGATGTTACCAGAAGCGACCTGGCCCCAGATGATAGCTCATCGAATTGGTTTATCATCATGTGGAAATTTATAGGAGCCAAATACTCTAAAGGCGTGATATGTTGATTCTATACACGTGTAGTGTAATAGCGCCGGCTGTTGCACAGCAGCGGCAGCTGTGGTGGACAGACAGCGCACACGCCGGTGAGGGCGTGAGCACGGCTGTGGTGGCAGAGCGGAGGGACGAGGGTAAGGGTCACGGAGGACCCCGTCTGGAGGCCCCTGGGACCTGCCAGCGCGTAGCCACACGGGGGAGTGGGTGGCCAGCACCATGCCTGGCTACCTTTGTCTCCCTCGTCGCGACGTGTCACCCACACTGCACCGGATACCCATCGAGGGGAAGCCCAGGACCGGTTCAGATAATTGGTCACAGTGATGTTGGTCACGAGTCGGAATCGAACTCGGGTCGGCAGGTTCGTAGTGCGGCACACCGACCGCTACACTACCGCTCCCCACACGTTGACACGCGCGGGTGTCGCCCTCACGCCCCCCCCACGCCCCCCCCCGCACCCACCCTTGACGTATTTGGCGACGGCCTCCACGGTGTCCCTCTCGGGGTCGATGGTGATGAACAACGGAGTCACGTTCGGCAGAGACGGGATTGCGTCTGCACACACACAAAGATAATGACCCCCCCCCCCGTATAGCCTTAGCAAACTGTTGGGGCAAGTGCTGTTAGCGAGTAGCACCTATGAAGGCGGGCACGACACACAAGCGGGTGGGGTGGCCAGTAGCACGCCCGGCCGCCTTTGTCTCCCCAGTGGCGATGTTTACACACCGCACCAGGTACTCATTTGAGGCCGAGTAGACCGAGTTGAGGCCCAGGACCGGTTCAGACAATCGTCACACTGGTGTTGGCCGTGAGCGGGAATCGAACTCGAGTCGGCAGGTTTGTAGCGCAGCGCGCTAACCACTACACTACCGCTACCCACATATACACCCTACGCTACCGCACCACAGCGCTTGTGCCAGGCCAGGTGCACTGAGGCCACGTGAAGTGTCGAAGGCTCGCTGACAGGGGGTCACAGGTAACTGAGATGACTGGCACAAGCACCACCTGTGCTCCATACTGTACCAACACCCTTACACACCCCCCACACACCCACCCACACACCCACCCCCCCCCACACACATCCACCCCCCCAAACACTTAAATCCAGCACACACACACACCGCCTACACCGCCCACACACACAGAGCCCACACACACACACACAACGCCCACACACACGCACACCGCCCACACACGCCGCCCACACACACCCCCCACACACACCGCCCACACACGCCGCCCACACACACCCCCCATACACACCCCCCACACACACACCCCACACAAATACACCGCACACACCCTACACACACACCCCACACAAACACACCGCACACACCGCAGACACACACCCCACACACACCCCACACACACCCCACACACACACACCCCAGACACACCTCACACACACACCCCAGACACACACACACACACACGCGCGCACCGATCTCATCGACGACGGCGATCATCTTCTCCATCTCCTCGGGGCAGATGTCGGGGCAGTGCGTGAAGCCAAAGTAGAGCAGCACCCACTGGCCCAGGAAGTCCTTGTCGGAGCGGGGGGCCCCCGTGTGGTCCACCAGCGAGAAGGGGCCTCCCAGGTTGGGGCGCCCCACCGAGCGGTTGCGCTCGCGCTCCATCCCTGTGGGGCACGCGTGTTGCGTGCGTGTTGCGTGTACGCGTGCGTGTGTACGCGTGTGTGTGTGTGTATGCGTGTGTGTGCGTGTGAGTGCGTAGGTGCGTGTGTGCATGTGTTTTGGAGCGTGAGTATTGGAGTGTAGGCGTAACAGCGTGTGCATTTCAAGGTTGGTGTGTGGGCTTTAGCTTGACGGTGTGCGAGTGTGTGTTTGACAGTGGATGTGTGGGTATTTGATAGTGGATGTGTGTGTGCTTTAGTTTGACGGTGTGTGAGTGTGTGTTTGACAGTGGATGTGTGGGTATTTGATAGTGGATGTGTGTGGGTTTGAGTGTGTGCATGCGTGCCACCAAAGTGCAGACATACAACGCACGTACACGTGAATACGTAACACAAACATGCGGGCACGCGTGCACAACACATGCTCAAACACGCAACAAGCATGTGCATGTATGTATAAGTATGTACACCTGTACATAAACACGTTTGTGTGTATACACGAGTACACGTGAGTATACCCGTGTGTGGGTGGTAGCAGCGGTTAGTGATGTGTTACGAACACATCAATCAGAGTTCAATATCCGCTCACGGCCAACGCCAGTGACAATTATCTGAACCCGGATCTGGGCCTCCCTCCCCCTTAGGTTGTCTCAGCCTCAAATGAGTACCTGGTGTAGCGGTGTGCAGTAAACATCACCACTAGGGAGACGACAAAGGCGGCCAGGTGTGGTGCTGGTCATCCACCCCTTCGTGTACCGTGCTGACCTTCATAACAGCATTTGTCCCAACAGTTTGTTAAGGTTATACGGGGGATCTTTGTCTTCATGCACAGGTGTGCGTGTGCCCTTGTGCGTGTGCCAGTGTGCGTGTGCCCGTGTGCGTGTGTGACGCACGCTCCTCCTTCTGTGACTTGTAACTCTTCATGCCGAGCAGCAGCACCGCCCCGATTCCAAACGTCACAGCCAGCGAGCGCCATGACACGGGCTGGGAGCACGGGGGAGCGAGGGGGGGGGGGGAGCACGGGAGAGAATCATGACTCTCTTCACTCACACTGACCAATGTTTTCTGTCTTCACTGTGGACCCCCCCCCTTGCAAACGAGACTTTCAGTCTCAAGGTATTATCCAGATGAAAATAGTCCGCCCCCCCCCCCTAATACGATGTGAAGTGAGGGGTGGGGAGTAGAGGGGGTGAGGTGGGGGTGAACTCACCCCAGCTCTCCGCTCTTTACGCTGCCCGGGCGGGGGAGGGGGGAGGGGCTGTGTTGCGTAGAACCTCCATGAGGGCCGGTCACATGACCTGTACAGCCTGTCACGTGACCAGCAAGCCTGTAAAGACAAAGATAAAGACCCCCCCCCACACACATCCTTAACAGACTGTTGGCACAAGTGTTGATAGTGAGCACCTATGAAGGCCGGTACACCAGCATCACGCCCAGCCGCCTTTGTCTCCCCAGTGGCGATGTTAACACACCCCACCAGGCACTCATTTGAGGCCCGAGTAGACCTAAGGGAGGCCCAGATAATCGTTACTGGTGTTCGCCGTGAGCGGGAATCGAACTCGGGTCGCCGGGTTCGTAGCGCACTGCCGCTCGCACACAGCAAGCCTGCACACCCACACTGAAACCGCACAGTGCACCCACTGTTTGTCTGCGGTCCTTCAACGAGGCAACAGGAACACTAAACTGCACCACCTCTTTTTCTTGGTTCTTTCGGTCAAGTCACCTCAGGACGGCTGCTTGCGTTGTGGCCGAAACGTCGTGAGAATTATTTTATGTTTTATTTTTATTATTGTATTATTTCCCTTCTACGTGACTTTACCGAAAGAACCAAGAAGATGAATCCCTGCAGTCACGAAAGCTTTAAATCGAAATTGCACCACCTCTCTCTGCATGAAGTCCTCTCTCGGCGCGGCCAGCAGCAGCAGTCCACGACATTTAGCTCCAGAACCACGCTGCTGCTGCTGCTGCTGCCACCATGCGTAAGAAATAGGAATTGCACATTTCAATTGTTATAAGACGCTGGCACCACAAGTTAAATATTTGGTGTGGGTCATTTAAGACATGGGACGAGAGGGCGCGTGGGGACTTGGGGGGGGGGGGGGGGGTACGGTGGAGTAGATGGGGGGGGGGCGTGGGCCCCTCCCCTACCCGGTCCTTCCCCTCGCATCCTCTATTTTGCTGACTCAGGATGATGACACCAGAAAGTGAGCGGAGCCACCCCCTGACTGCCGGGAGTCAACGCGGCAGCAGCAGACGACGACTCGCACAGTGGAGCCTCATGCTCCATGCTCCATGCCCGGCCCCCTGCAACCCTCACCTGGAGGAGCCCGAGTGAAGGAAACTGCCTGAGCGGCGTTCTCCATTGCAAGGCCCGCGGGCCACTGGCGGCCTTCAAGTGCTGCCCCCCCCCCACAATACACAAGTGGTGAAAACAGCCCCCATCACCATCGTCGTGATGCTGCCACAATCTGGCGTGGCGGCCCTCACACCGATGAGGTCTTATCGCTAAAGTAACCACCCACCCCTCCCTGGAAATGAGTTAAGAACACCGCACTGTCGGGTCTCAGGCTGCCACCGGTCCACCTCATGCCCCCCCTCCCCCCCAGTTCATCTCACGCATTAACATCTCCCAGAGAGGACAATGTCTACAGTGCCTGTATATTAGGGAACGCGATGCGTAAAGTTCCATTGCCCGAAATGTCGCCCATTAGATTGTTTATATTGTTTCATTAAAAAACCACACCACGGTGTTATTGGCATACGTGTTGTGGGTTTTTTCTTTCTTTCTTTCTCTGTTAGACAATGAAGTTGCTGCGGGTGACGGTCACCGCGGCGCTCGTGCCAGGCTAGGTGCACACAAAGACACACCAGCGACACACAGCACCTGCCTGGGTCAACCCAACCTGACCGCGCCACTCACCAGGGTCCTCGCGTCCCCGAGCCTCACGAGCCCCACAGGACCCCGGCCCAGGGTCCCGGGACCCCGCCACGACCTCAGCAGCAGCAGCGGCAGCCGCGGACCAGCACGCAGCGCCATGCGCCACCCTCCTCACGTCACAACCACGTGACGTGCCGGGGGGGGGAGGGGCGTGACCACGTGACCTGCCGGGGGGGGGAGGGGCGTGGCCACGTGACGTGCCGGGGGGGGCGTGACCACGTGACCTGCGTGACGTCACCCTGACGGACGGCCATCTTACCTGGGGAGGGAGCGAGGCGCCGTTGATGCGAGTGGAGAGACCCGCGGCGTTGGTTTCGCGGGCGGCGGCAGGAGAGCGTGCGAGCTCCCCCCTCACGCTCACCCCTCACGCTCACCCCTCACCACGGTGTCGGCTCGCAACGCGGGAGGCGAGGAGACGCAGCCGCTAGGCCTCAAGGCACGGGATAGGCGGGCGCCATCTTACTTAGGCCTTCAAACGCAGCCGCCCGATTGGCTGAGCGCGTCACGTGACAGCTGCCACCGAGAAATCCGATGAGCTTTGAAGCGCTTTTTATCCCGCACAGATGTACTATAGGGGGGCAACGTTACAACAATCTAAAAAAACCTATAGGAGTGCACACACTAAAAATACAATAGGAGTACAAAGTATAGGAAAGGGGCCGTCCATAAATGACGTCACGCGATTTTTGACCCCCCCCCTCGTCACATGACGTCACAAAAAGTCAGACCCCCCCCTCAAATATGACGTCACAAAGCTCTGCCGCCCCCCCACAAAGAAATAAAAAAAGGCTTCAAATCGCTTTAAACTATTGTCATTGTAGTGCGTATTTAATGTGGCGCTGCACTCTGATGTTGTAGGAGAAAACATTTATTAAAACGTCTATTTGATTAAGTAGAACGTGTTGTCTATATTTATTTAAAGTTGCGCATTTTGATGTGACGTCACATTTCTCAACCCCCTCCCTAGGTGCGTGACATCATTTATGGACGACCCCAAAGGTAAACATTTTTTTTTACGAATAAAACTTTAAAATTATACATTTTTGCCACTGTCAAAGTATTATTTCATAAATAAAACGTCGTTCTTATTATTGGTTCTTTCGGTAAAGTCACGTAGAATGGAAATAATAAAAGAAAAAAAGTATTTATATTATTTTATTATTTACCTGCAGTCACGAAAGCTTTAAATCAAAATTTAAAACGTCGTTTTGTTTAATTCTAGATTTTAAGCTTTCGTGACTGCAAGGATTCATATTCTTAGGTTTTTTCGGTAAAGTCACGTAGGTAAAAATTTTAAATTAATAAAAGTAAAATTAAATAAAAATCACTGATTTTTATGTTTTATTTTATTTTATTAATTTAAAATTTTTACCTACGTGACTTTACCGAAAAAACCTAAGAATATGAGTCGTTTTGTTTGTAAATTTGTGACCCGCTTCTCATTGGCGAGGGTTGCCATGACGACTCCCGACACATCGAGCTCCCCCATTGGTTAGAAACGACGCAGCGAAACGCGTCGCGATTGGCTGGAAGCCGGTCACGTGCGCCGCTGTTCGGTGGCGCAGGAAGCCCCGGGGGTTTGTGAGGGGATCACCGAGGGGACCCCGCGGACGTCGGGAGGACGACTCGAGGGGGAGGACGACTCGAGGGGGAGGACGACTCGAGGGGGACGACTCGAGGGAGGGGGGGGGGGACGATGCAGGGCTCCTGGGACGTGAGCGGCGGCGGCAGGAAGCGTAGCGACCCCTGCGGCCCGGAGCGTCTCTCGTTCCTGCAGGCGCTCGTGTGCGAGTACCAGGAGTCGACTGACGAGGGTGCAGTGCCCCATCCACACACACACTGTACACACACGCCGCGCGTGACCCTCACGTGACGCAGGATAAACACTGTATACACACCGCACACACACTGTACACACACTGTACTCACACTGCACACACACTGTACACACACGCCGCGCGTGACCCTCACGTGACGCAGGGTGCACACACACTGTACGCGCACTGTACACGCACTGAATACACACTGTGCACATACACTGCACACACGGTACATACAACACACACTGTACACACACAACGCACACACACTGCATACACTGTACACACTGTACACGCACACACTGCATACACTGTACACACACCGTATACGTACTGTACACACACCGTACAAACCACACACACACGACACACTGTATACGCACTGTACACACATCGTACACTACACACGGCACACACACTGTATACGTACTGTACAGTGTTGTAAGGTGCATAAAGTCTGCATATACAACCGCGTGCGCACTTTGTACTGTACGCACGCAGTCTATACAGTGTGTACTGTATACAGCGCCGTGTTTGCGCTATATACAATGTATGCACTGTCCGCACTGTATATACAAAATAGACTTTCTAGTACAGTGTACGTTGTGTACAGTATGTATACAGTACATATACTGTATAGGCGACGTCAGCGGATGCAGTGCCACCTCTGCAAGGGCCATTGCCCGAAACGTCGCCTGTTAACTTAAATAGGGTCTCCCCTACAGTAGCCACACAGAAAGGCAATACTATTTCCCAGCGGTAAATGAGTAAAATGTCAATGTTCGCCGTCTCGCTGGCCATGATTTGTGGTCAGGTCGCTCCTGGAAACAGCTGTACAGCTCAGTGGGCCTTACCTGGTAAAATAAAAAATAGTTAGTCATAATTTTACACCCCGTGACCCAATAACCACATCACGTGACCATTAAGTATGTCACATGAGCCTCTCGGCGTGTCTGTAACCTCCAAAACTGGCAGTGAACCTTGACCCTCAATAGCCTTAACCCCCCACCCCCTCCAGGCCGCCATGACCTCCACAAACCCTGACATCAATAAACCCCAGCACCACTAACCCCTTGACCCTGTATTGACCCCTGGCCGACCCCTGCTGCAGGCGCGTGTGACCAGGTGCTGGCGAACTTGGCGAACTTCGCGTCGGACCCGACCCAGGCCCCCTTCCTGCTGGCGCTGCAGGTCCCCGCGCTCTTCAGCGATGCAGCGACCAGCAGCAGAGAGAGAACGGCGGAGTTCGGCATGGGTGGGTGGAGAGGCACAACCACACTAAACATAGTCACACAACTACACTCGCACTCGACCCCACTCCCTCTTAACACTCAACCACAACCACGCTAACACTCAACCACAACCACTAACACTTAACAGCACCTAACTACACAACAACAACAACAACCGCCATTCGCCACTAAGTGGCGGTGACGTCACCACGACGCTTGTGCCAGGCCATGTGCACCTTGAGGCCATTTGAAGTGTCAAACGCCCGCTAACTACACTCACACTCAGCCACAAACCACAACTCCAATAACCTCCCGGCACCACAACCAACCTCCACCCCCATGCCCCCTATCCCTGCACGACTCTCGCGCAGGAGGCCTGTGTAACCTGTCCGCGGACCCGCGCTGCCGGGACGCCATCGAGGCGGCGGGGGGCGTGGAGGCGGCGGTGCGCTGCCTGTCGCGCGCGAGCGAGGAGACGGTGCTCTCGGCCATCACCGCGCTCGTGCTGCTGCGCCAGCATCGGCACCAGCGGCAGCAGCGCGGGCCGTGGGCGGCGCTCCCCGTGGTGCAGTGCATGCTGCGCCTGCAGCAGGCGGAGAGCGCCCGCCTCCGCACGCTCGCAACCCTCTTCCTCCAGGACTGCTGCAGCCCCGCGCAGGCGAGTGCATGCGTGCGCCTACATCGTCTGCCGGTCATCTCGGTCATCTCAGTCGGTCATGACCTCCTGCCAGTGGGCCTTTTGACACCTAGCATGGCACAAGCGCAGTGGTGATGTCACCGCCACTTCGTCGTGAACGGCGGTTGTTGTCGTTACATTGTCTGTGCGGCGACATGGGGGCTCTTCGTCTTTGTATGGGCGGGACCAACGGAGTCAAGATCGACCTCCGTGGAGGAGGCTCGTGAAGGATACTACTGGGCAGTTGGAGGCAGTCGCCCTCCCAACATCAGTGGAGCGTAGAGGAGTGACGCTGACAACAACGAGCGGAGCGCTAGGCGCAGTAGTGAGCACAGGTGGTGAATCTGTCAGTTGTCTCAGCCAACCTGTGGCACTTGGGTCTGTTCCGTGACCTGGCAGCGCACCTTCGGCACTTAATGTGACCTCAAGGTGCACCTAGCCTGGCACAAGTACCATGGTGATGTCATCCGCACAGTAGCGAATTGTGGTTGTTGTTGTGGGTGGTTATTGTACTTGTTGGTGTATGTGCATGTGTACGTAAGTGTCTGAGCTGGTGCAGAGCGGTAGTGTAGTGGCTAGCTCACGGCACTACAAACCCAGAAACTAGAGTTGGATTCCCGCTTAAGGCCAACATCGGTGACGAATATCTGAAACCGTCTTGTGCCTCCCCTCGGTTGACTAAGCCTGAAACGAACATCTGGTGTGGTGTGTAACATCACCACTGGGGAGACGAAGACAGCCGGGCGTGGTCATGACCACGGACACTCATGTGCCATGCTTGCTCTAATAGGTGCTTGCAAATAGCAGTTTCCCCAAACAGTCTGTGTAAGGCTACATGGGCAGTCTTTGTCTTTGTGTGTGTGGGCAGGTGGAGGAGGCACACAAGACTGAGAGCCAATCCGCCGTGGGGATCCCGCTGCCCCCAGGGCCACCCCCAACCACAGACCTTAGTCCGGGCAGGGGACCCTGAGGGGAGGGAGAACGGAGGTGGGACTGGGCTTCACTAACCCAGGCCAATATCTGGGTATCGCACCGGGGCGGCCCAGGGCCATGGAGATTCTGGGTTTGGTGCTTCCCGTTCAGCAACAAGAATGTTGAGTGTTTCTCTAGCGTCCGTAAGTCACCACATCGTGCAACGTTACACAATCCTCAAACATGGAGCCGCGCGCGCATTCACGAGTGCTTATGCACGAAAGGGGAAAACCGGAGAGCACCTGGAGAAAACCCGCACGTGCAAGGTGGGGCAACACTCTATCCCGTACAGGTGGGACACGTGAAGATGAAGCCACGCTTGCTGTACTGCCTTCTCTTGAGCGAGCCATGGGTACGGCGGCACCTCCTCGACCCCCACGGGAACGGAGTTTCGCGACATCTGTACTGCAATCTACCAACCCTCGCTCCTGCTGCCTCCACACGCAGCCACGCGCGGCGTAGACAACCTCTGCTCAGCCATACCGGGGTGCAGAGTTGTGGTTCATGAAGCGATTGTAAATACAATTTTTTTTTAAATAAGTTGTTTTTGGGGGCGTAATTTTCTTTTCGCCCCGCGATCTCATCCCACGCCGCATTCGAGACAGAGAATCCGCTGCCACCGCTGCTGCTGTTGCATAAGCGAGAGTTTATTAACGCCGCTCGCGCCCCCTGACCCGGGCATAACGCGCGCCCCGGCCGCAAACACCAGCGTCTACAAGTTTAAATACACGTAACAGCGCTCCACGTGACCCCCTCGTGACCTCCCCTGACCCCTACGCGACCCTCGTGGTTTAGAAGGCACCTCTCACATCCCTCGCCCGCTATCGCCACGGCGGCGGCCTGCCGTGTTTGCCAATGATGCCGCACGTGCGGTCGTCACGGTTGTGGCTTGAGAACACGGCGAGGAGTGGGGTTAGATGAGGAGCAAGGTGAAGAGAGGGGGTTGAGGAATAGGGGTGAGGAATCGGGATGAGTAGCGGGGTGAGGGATTTGGGTTAGAAGTGGCTAATGTGGGATACACCCCAAGTGGTTGCTCGCCGCGGTGGCGCTGTGGCGTCGCGCAACTGAGTAAAAATTCCGCGGGTAAAAATTGATTAATAAAATTCCGAGCGGCAAAAAAGTGATGATAGCTCCGTCCAACATCGAGAGAATTCCCCCCCCCTCCTCCATGAGTGGACTGACCCAAGTGAAGAGGCAGCTATGGACCGGACCATTCCACAAGGGGTGGAGGAAGAATCCACAACCTATAACCCCTCCAGAGGCAACCCTGCCCCATTGGTTTGGTTATATGCCACAAGCGTTGTAGTGTCAAGAGTACCCCCCCCCACCATGGGTCCCCACTGATGGTCCTGCTCACACGGTGTCCCCTTGCGTCCCCCTTGCGTCCCCCATGCGTCCCCGCTGGTCCCCTGTGCCCATTGGCCTCCACTGGGTCCTGCTGCTCATCTGGTGTCCCTATCGGTCCCCAGGGCAGGGCGGCCCATAAGTCAACAATTGGTCCCCATGCATCCCGAGCGGTCTACACGCATCCCCAATGTGTTGTCGATGGTCCCCTGTGTCGCAACGGGTTCCCTTGGGTCCCCACATCCCTTTGCATAGGTCCAAACGAGTCTCCACTGGTCCCTGTGTCCCCACAGGTGATCCCCAACAGGTCACCTTGGGTCCTCACGATCCCTGCAGCTCACACGGGGTAGTACCACAGCATGAGGCTGTGCTGGGAGTGAGGGGGGCCCTGGGGGGCCTTGCCCCCCGGTCTCGGCAGGGAGCGGTAGCCCAGTCCCCCCGACACCACCAGGGCCGTGGAGACCCCCGCCGCCCGGGCCCCCCGTCGCCCCCCACCAACGTCCCCCCCCCTCTCCGCCCCCTCGCCGCCACCCGCCCCCTCGGGTCCCAGGGCGGTCCCGTCGTCGAGGGCGAAGGGGGACTCGGGGCCGCAGGGGGGAGGGGAGTCGGGGGGGTGGTGCACCTCGAACCCCGGGGGGGCGGTGGCGGAGGGAGTCCCCGCCGCCTCGACCCCTGCCTCGTTGGCGCAGGTTCCCATGGCGACGGCGAGGAAGGTGACGGCGCCGCTGTGCGCGTGGTACGCCACCATGCCTCGGCCTGGCAACGCGAGGGGGAGATGGCTGTGAGTGCGCGTGACGGGGTGAGTGGGTGGGTGTGTCGGGGTGAGTGGGTGGGTGTGTCGGGGTGAGTGGGTGGGTGTGTTGGGGTGAGTGGGTGGGTGTGTTGGGGTGAGTGTGGGTGTGTCGGGGTGAGTGGGTGGGTGTGTAGAGGTGAGTGGGTGAGTGTGTCGGGGTGAGTGGGTGGGTGCGTCGGGGTGAGTGGGTGGGTGAGAGTGTAAGTCGGTGTGACTGGGTGAGGATGAGTGCAGTGAGCGTGAGTGAGCATGAATACGTATGAGAGTGAGCGTGAATGAGACCCGTGCTTGCTGAGTGAATGTCAGGAGTGTGAGTGAGGAGTGTGAGACTCATGCTGGGTGAGGAGTGAGGAGTGTGAGGAGCAAGTGTGAGTGGGGAGTGTGAACGAGTGGGGAGTGTGAACGAGTGGGGTGAACGAGTGGGGAGTGTAAGTGGGGAGTGTGAACGAGTGATGAGTGCAAGTGAGACCTGTGAGCTTGGGGAGTCCCTCCAGCCGGGGGAGGGGCAGGGCGACGATGAGGCCCAGGCTCGTGCCCACCCACAGGAGGCCCGGGCAGCTGGCTAGGCACGTCACCACGAGGGGCCACTGTGCCGCACCACCTGCACACACAAACACGGCCTCAACACGACTGGTGCGCCTCCTCCGTGTTGTTAGCGGGCACCCATTAAGGCCTGTGAGCCAACTGAGGTTGTGCACGATACGGAGTTGTGTGGTTGCGTGTGGTTGCTGCGCGTGGTTGTGCATTGTTGCATGTGGTTGTGCGTGGTTGCGTGTGGCGGTTACACGTGGTTGTGCGTGGTTGCATGTGGTAGTTGCGTGTGGTTGTTGCACGTGGTTGTCCCGCATCGTGGTTGCGCGTCATTGTTCGGCAAGGTGGTGCGTGGTTGGGTGCGGTTATTGCACAAGGTTGCGCGTGGTTCTGCGTGGTGGCTGCGCGTGGTTGCCGCCGCCGCCGCTGCTGCGTGTGGTACCGGGCGTCATGCGGTTGACGGGCGTGGCGATGTTGACGTCCTGCAGCTGCTCCAGCGTCTCGGTGTGGAAGAGGCGCAGGGAGGTGCCGCGCGAGAAGGAGACCCACACGCCCACGCCGGCCAGCGCCACCTGGCTCACGTGCACCTCCGCCTCCGGGTGCGCCTCAAACCCAGCCTAATGCCGGGGGTGGGGGGGCACAAAGGTGGAGACATGGAGGCGACAAGGACACGATAGGGGAGACACGGGGGAGATGTGGGTGTGGGGGACAAACAGGGATGGGGAGGGAGGATAAACGTGGGGTCACGAGGGCGTGGGTGAGAGAGGCAGGTTGTGGGAGTGGATGCGGTAGATGTGGTCGTGGTGGTTGTGGTGCAAGGTGGTTGCGGTTTACCGGGGTGGCCGCCTCTCCCCCCGCGGTGCGCACCGCGATGTGGTTTCCGCACGCGGCCCACAGCGCCTCTCCCACGGGAAGCAGCGCGGGGACTGGGAGGGAGCCCAGCGAGAAGGTCGCGTGAACCGCCCACGCCGCGTCTACGGGGGCACACGGGGACACGCGGGGACACGCGGGGACACGTGGGGACACGCAGACACACGATGACACAGGGACACGGTGACACATGGACACAGGGACACACAGGTACATGGATATAGGTTATGTTGCGTGTGCTATAAATATGTTTTGTGTGTGTGCGTACACGCCGTGCGTACCGGCTCCGCGCGTGTACACGGCGAACGTGCCATCGCGTAGCCCTGCGTACACGCGCCCGTGCGCGTAGCGCAAGCTGCCGGCGGGGGAGCCCCCGGGCGTCGGCTCCCTCCACAGACGAACCTTCTTACACGCGGGGCTGCTGCGGTACGCGCACACGCTGCACACACACACACATTCACAGGTACAGCCACGTGGTCATACAAAAACAAAGGTCTCCTGTATAGCCTTTAATGAGCACTCATTAATACGAGGGGGTGGGTGGCTAGCACCACCCCCGGCCAACCTTTGTCTCCCCAGTGCTGATGTTTAGACACCGCAGCAGGTAGTCATCTAGTCGACCTCGGGAAATTTCACCAATGTTGGCCGTGAGCAGGAATCGAACTCGGGTCGGCCGGGGTTCGCAGCGCTGTGCGCTAACCGCGACGCCGCCGCTTCCCACCCTACGCACACAAGTACGCGCGCACGTGTGCACGCCCGCGACCCCCGACCCCTCACCTGCCGTCGTCCAGGGCGAGCCAGGTGGAGGGGTCGGGGGGGGAGCCCCCGGGGGTCGGGGGGTCGGGGGGTGCGGGGACGAACTCGGCGCAGAGGACGCGCGCCTCCACGCTGAAGCCCTCGGTGACGCGCGGCTCCGCGTTGCCCAGAGACAGCACGCTGAGCTGGCCCATCGACGCATCCCCACTCCCTATCTGGGGACACGGGGACAGACACAGACTCCATATCTGCACATAGGTTGATGATGAGGATATAGAGAGACACAGAGAGAAGAAGGGGACTCCACGTTGACCCCTTCACCTCACCCCTATGACCCCTCACCTCACCACCGTGACCCCTAACCCCACCACCGTTACCCCTAACCCCACCACCGTTACCCCTAACCCCACCACCGTTACCCCTAACCCCACCACCATGATGCCTCACCCCACGAACATGACTTGTAACCCCAACACCGTGATCCCTAACCCCACCACCGTGCCCCCCCTTTGCCCCCCCTTTACCCCACCACGACGACCCCTGACCCCGTCACCGTGACCCCTGACCCCACTCACCCAGATTGTTCCCTGGCCCAGGGAGAGCTGGTGCCGCCACCCCTCCCCCACGCTCGACGAGGGAACCGGGTTATAGACGGCGCACTCGGGCTGCACGCAGACACGACACGCAGACACGACGAACATAAACAACACACAGACACAACACACAGACACAACACGCAGACACGACACGCAGACACGACACGCAGACACGACGAACATAAACAACACACAGACACAACACACAGACACAACACGCAGACACGACACACAGACACGACACACAGACACGACACGCAGACACAACACACAGACACGACACGCAGACACGACACGCAGACACGACACGCAGACACAACACACAGACACGACATGCAGACACAACACACAGACACGACACACAGACATGACACACAGACACGACGAACATAAACAACACACAGACACAACACACAGACACAACACACAGATACAATACACAGACATGACACACAGACACGATGAACATAAACAACACAGACACAACACACAGACACAACACACAGACACAACACACAGACATGACACACAGACACGATGAACATAAACAACACACAGACACAACACAGACACAACACACAGACACAACATACAGACATGACACACAAACATGACACGCAGACACACGACATAAACAACACAGAGACACATGATACACATACAGACATACATACAGACATACACAGTCCATGTACATACATCACACACACACTCAAAGGTCCCCCTATAGCAAGACAGACTGTTGGGGCAAGTGCTGTGTTTGTTGTGTTGTGTGCGTGTTTCTGTGTGTACGTGTGTGCAGGTGCTCGCTAACAGAACTTGCAGGTGGAGAGTGGCAGAGCAGTAGTTAACGCACTGCCCTAAGAATCCGGCGACCTGAGTTCGATTCCTGCTCAGGGCCAACATGGGTGAGACGAATATCCGAACCGGTCCTGGGCCTCCGTTATGCCGACTCAGCCTTAAATGAGTACCTGGGTACGGTGTGTAAACATCGCCACTGGGGGAGACAAAGGCGTACTTGGGCGTGATTCTGGGCACCCGCCCCCTTCGTGTGCCGCGTCGGCCTTCACAGGTGCTGCTCACTAACAGCACTTGAACGAACGGTCTGTTGAGGCTATACGGGGGGTCTTTGTCTTTGTGCACCTCCCACCCTGCCCGCGGCTCACCCTGAGGTCTTGCGTCCCGGCCTCGAACACGGGCATGTGGGACAGCAGCAGCGGGCACCTGTGTGGAGCCTGTGGCCGGTCCTCGTCCTCTGCGCTAAACCAACCCCATTGGTTCGCATCCTCTGAGTCAGGGAGGGACAACACGTGTGTGTGCAGGCGTGCATGCGCACAATACGTGAGCGCTCCACATTCGGACACAACCCAGAGTCACACTCTCTCCACACTCGGCGGACACACACCACACTCACACTCTCTCCACCAGTGACGGACTGGGACTAAATATCAGCCCAGGCATTTGTAAACATGCCGGCCCAAATTCGGGCGATGGAGCAGCTAGATTTTCAATGTTGACGTATGAGCGTGATTTTGCCGTGCGATCTCATTGGCCCATTTGGGGCTGGGTCCGAAAACACAGAGGAAGAATCGTTGGGGCTAACAGAGAGCGGAAATACGCAATGTAATAAAAAAAATTTGAATGTATTACTTGTTATATTTTTTTACTTACTACGATCACATTTGCAATTTCCCCACACAGACCGGCATTTGCCTTACGGACTGCTGCCCCTATGACTAAGTCCGCCTAAGGGCACAATAACACCACATCACCCCACGCTACACAGAGGGAGCAAGAGAAGCAGAAGGAGATGTGGGGGGAGACCAGAGGCACACGGGGGAATGTGGGATCAGAAGGGATCAAGGGGGGATCACGCCGGAGCAGGGGAGGTCGCGGGGGAGCAGGTGGCATCAGGAGGGGATCACAGGGGGATCACAGGGGGATCACGGGGATCAGGGTGGTACCGAGTGAGAGCGTTGCCGTCTTGAGGTCTCGCAGCCACGAGGCCCTGGCTCCCGGAGACGAGAAGTGGAAGACGGAGACGAACGACACGGGGCGGCCATGCCTGTACGCATGTACACACACATATACACGTACAACAACAACCGCCATTCGCCACTAAGTGGCGGTGACGTCACCACGACGCTTGTGCCAGGCCAAGTGCACCTTGAGGCCACGTGAAGTGTTGAACGCCCGCTGGCAGGAGGTCACGGGGCAGACCCATACACACACACGCGTACACACGCACACATACACACACGTACGCACACATACACACACGTGTATGTAAATACAAACATTTCCCGTGTAGTCTGCACAGGCTGTTTAGGCATGTGTACCCCCCATGTGTACCCTCGTACATACCCCCCTGTGTGTACCCCCGTGTATAGCCTGCGTCTACCCCTCGTGTGTACCCCCGTGTGCCACCCCACCCCCCTTCCCTTACTTGTCGGGTTTCCCCTGCAGCTGCAGCTGCACGCGGCAGCGATCGCTGCCCCGGATCTGGGCCTCCTTCTGCTGGATGAGTCGCTGCACCGAGGCCGCACACTCCTGCACCAGCGCTGGGGTCAGCGTCTGCAATGACAAAGATCCCCCGTGTAGCCTCAACAGACCGTTGGGGCAAGTGCTGTTGGCGAGCACCTATGAAGGGTGGCACGGCACACGAGGGGGTGGCCAGCACCGCGCCCGGCCGCCTTTAACTCCCTAGTGGCGATGTTTTTACACATCGCACACACACAAAGACACACACGCACCGGTGAAGTGATCATCCGTGTAACAAATCAATGAAACTTAAACTTAAGTGTCTCAGGCGGTTACGGGACAGACCCAGGTGCCACCGATTAACCGATGAGGCGCACAATTGGGAGGCAGGGTGGCACAGCGCCACAAGTTGATGGGCAGACATGGGTCCGAGCTTGACGCAAAACTAAACGGCAATACACAACACAAAATAATCACCAGCGTCGTTGTGGAGACAATACATAACTAACTAAATAAGTAGACGATACGCCTCCTTCACGTAAAAAAGTGCAATTTGTGCATCCCATCAGCTGCATGGATGAGAAGTGGGGCTGGGCGCTCAGAGATGTCACCCGGGATGGGGAGCAGGTGGGATTGCGAAGCGGATGCAGTCCCCAGGGGGCGGGCAGCAGAGAGCGGAATGTGGATCGGCCTTTAGCAGAGAGGAAACACAAAGTCTGCAGATGGCGAGTCCTGCATTCCCGCATACGTGATGATAGGGCTGTGAGGAATGTCAACTATGGGTGGGTGGATGGGTGGATGAGTGGGTGAATGAGCTTGTAATTGGGTGGATCGGAGGGTGGGTGAAGTGAGTATGTGAGTGAGCAGGTGAGTGGGTTGATTGAGTGAGTGAGCGAGCGATTGAATGGGTGAGCGAGTGCGTGGGTGGCTGAATGATGGGGTAGGCCATTAAGTTAGTAGATCAGTTGGTTTTTTAAGTTTTCAATTTTCATTTATTAGGTATAGACCTGGTGAGGTGAGTGGACAGATGAGCAAATGAGGAAGCGGGTGAGTGAATGAGTGTGTAAGCGAGCAGGTGAGTGTGTGGGTGAGTGTGTGGGTGAGCGAGTGGGTGAGTGAGTCTCACCGCGTAGGTTCCGTGGAGCTGGCCCGTGAGCTGAGAGATCTGGGTCATGAGCTGGAAGTCGCTGTGCAGCTCCTGCAGCTCCACGTAGAGACGCGCGGGGCCCGAGTACAGGTGACCTGGCGGCATGGGGTCACCGGCTCGTGATGCGGGGTCATGGGGTCACGACACAAGCTCACAACATTGCACGGGGGACACATGGCTCCATCTCCTCGGTGGTCGTCCCCTGGATGCGTTCCATCCTTGGCTCGTGCGTGCACTCGTTTATCTGTAGGGATCTCAAGCCGCACGATGCGTCGTAGCATCGGCAAGTCGCGGCCGCCCTAAATCAAGCGTTCACGTGCTGAGGGGGTTCACTCACTCCCTTTGGGGTCCACGGAGAGCTGTGGGGGAGGGGCCCCCTTGTCGGCACCCCCTTCCTCGTCGCACTCCCCCCCCGACACCTGCACCTGGCGCAGTGGAACGCTCCACTTGAGTGTGAAGCGGGGCCCAGCCGGGACCATCCCATTCCCGTCGTAGGGGATCCTGCCAGGGAGGCCACGGTTGGGGGGGGGGTGGCAGGGAGTAAGCGTACGTCACGGGGTTAACTCCCCGTGTGCTTTGCATCACTGCGTGTGCCCGTGTCTCCCTGCATCTCCACACGCCCTCGCATGTCCCCGTGTGTCCCTGTGTCCCCGTGTCTCCCCACACGGCTCCCCGTGTCTTCCCGCGTGTTCCCGCGTGCAGGACTAGGCATGTGCCTATATTTTTCACTTCAGGAATTAAGCCCTGGGCATGCGCACCGGCGTGTCCCTGCATGTCCCCGTGTCTCCCTGCGTCTTCCTGTATCTCCACTCTCCCCACGTCTCCCCATATCTCCATGTACCTCAATGTATCTCCCTGTATCTCTTCGTATCTTTTAGTGTTGATTTTTCCGTTTAACACGTAGGGTTTTGCGACCAATATTATGCATAATAAAGAGGTTTTTGGGTTTATCGTGTAAATATGAATGTGTCGTTAAACCCAGCACAACCCTACATAGCCAATTAGTAAGGTTTGTCATGTAAACAAAACGTGTAAATTAGTTACTACTTCAGAAAAGCGGTGTGTTGGTGAGTAAACCCACAACATTTACAATTCGAGTACTGTGACATTTCGCTACTGGTTACAACAACAACAACAACCAGCTTCATCAGCCGATCCTGTTTCGGTCTTGCTTTGTCCATCTGGGCCCAACCTGTGGCACCCCCCAATGCACCCCCCCATGTACCCCCCCCATGCCCCCCCCATGCACCCCCCCATGCCCCCCCATGCCCCCCCCCATGCCCCCCCCATGCCACCCCCCCCCCCCCCCCCCGCGTGCCTGGGGTTGAGGCCGGCACACACGATGGTATCGTTGAGCATGAAGAGGCGTCGCGGGCGAGTCTTGAGGATGAGGCGGCGCTCGCCCACCACGCTCTCCGTCACGTCGTCCACCCTCACCAGGTAGCGCTCCCCGGTGCCCAGCAGCTGGGGGACGCGCACAGAGACAGAGGTCCCCCCACCGCCGTGTAGCTGTGACGGAGTGCCGGGGCTGTTGGCGAGCGGCGCCTATCAAGGCACCGCACGGCGCGCGAGGGTGTGCGGTGGCCAGCACCGCCTCCCCAACGCTCGGTTTACACGCCGCGCCAGGTAACTCATTTAAGGCTGAGTCGACCTCGGGGAGGCATAGGATCGGTTCAGATATGTTCATCACCGATGTTGGCTGCGAGCGAGCGTCGAACTTGGGTCGTCTGGTTTGTAGCGGAGTGCGATAACCATCGCGCCACCGCTCCCCTCCACACACACACGGTGACACGAAACAGGCGAGGTGCACTCTGAGGCTACGCGAAGTTGTGGAAGGCACGACGTCCACGGCCACACCCGCGCCAGGCTAGGTGCACACATGGCGCACAGTGTACGGACGGCGCGCACATCAGTGCCGCCGCCAGCCCGCCGCCGAGTGGCGTCCGCGCCAGGCTAGGTGCGCACCTTGGCGAGCTGGCGGTCGTGGATGGCGCTGGCGACGGCGCGCAGCTCGTTGCGCCGGCCCGCGAGGCGCTGGCGCTCGTTGAGCCGCCCGGCGAGCGTCTCCAGCTCCGTGAGCGCCATCTGCAGCGGCAGCCGGTCGGGGTGCCCCCGCGGGGTGTTCCGCAGCATGTCCTGCACGAGCGCGCACACACGTACACACGTACACATGTACACACGCACACACGTATAGTACATAGGTGTACACAGGCACGTGTATACATACACACGTACACACGCAAACACGCACGCATACACACGTACACACGCACACATGCACACACGCACACACGCACACACGCACACACGCACACACGTACAAACGTACACACGCACACACGTACAAACGTACACACGCACACACGTACACACGCAAACACGCACGCACACGCACACACATATACACAGGCACACGTATACGTACACACGTGCACACGCACGCACACGAACACACACACTACTTTGGTGTACACAGGCACGCGTATACGTATACGCGTACGCACGTGCACACACAAGGAAGGAAGATGGTCACCGCATCACGCGCGTTCAGATGCGCTTCTGCGTGAGGCCGTCTGGAACGCTCTTCCAATATTAGTAAGCCACTGGGGCTATGCACTTTTAAATCATCTGGTTTGTAAACTTAATTCTTTAGAACTGCTTTTTAAAACTGCTTTTTTCCCCGCACCTCCGATTAATTAGCGGGGTTGGCTACGTAACATTCATATACGCACGCACACGCCAGCCAACAGTGCACCATCTGCATCATGATCATGAAGGTGATGATGTTTTGCTTTCGATAGAACAAATCATCTGGTGCTGCTGCGTTGGCAGTGGTGCACAAGCAGTGAACAACACACTTAACAACAAATTAATAAACCTAACGATCGTCAATATTACACTGCGGCCGTAAAATTAAAATATATAAAATAGGAGACATTTTGGGCAAGGCCGATTCCTCGTAGCACGCTGTTGCAGGCAACGCCCCTTCTTTGTGTGCCACTGCGCGAAACATCACCGGTTTTATAGTTACAATGTTAAGGCCGCAGTGTGATTGACAGATGTGTTGAGTTTTGTGTGTACGTGTTGTGCGTGTGTAGGCATCGGCGCAGTGGTTTGCACAATGCCCTACGAATCCAAGTTCGATTCCCGACCACGGCTCACGTCAGTGGCGAGTTATATTTGAACTGGCGCTGGGCCTCCCTTTGGTCGACTCAGCCTTAAATGAGTGCCTTAAAACGCCTCAAATGAGTACCTTGTGCGGTGTGTAAACATCGCCACTCGGGAGACAAAGGCGGTCGGGCGTGGTACTGGCCACCCACCCCCTCATATGCCGTGCCAGCCTTCTTTGGAGTTCGCTAACAGCACTTGCCCCAACAGTCTGTTAAGACTACATAGGGTATCTTTGTCTCTATGCGTGTGTGTGACTCTGTCCCTTCACCTGCAGCAGGAGGATGAACTGGGGGAATCTCTGCACCGGCTTCATCATCAGCGCCTGCAGGGAGTGGCGGTCAGCACTGGCCTCCTGGCAGCTCTAAAAACAACAACAACCACCACCACCACAACATCAACAACAACCACAATAACCACGACCACCACCACAACATAATCGACCATATCAACAACTGTGAGTAAGTGGGTAGGTAATCCGCTGGGTGAACAGGTAAGTGAGCGTGTGATTGGGTAGGTGAGCGAGTGTGAGTGGGTAGGTGAGCGGCTGGGAGAGCGTGTGAGTGGGTAGGTGGGTGAGTGAGGGTGAGTGGGTAGGTGAGTGGCTGGGTAAGCGGTTGAGTGGGTAGGTGAGCGGACGGGTGTGCGGCTGGGAGAGCGTGTGAGTGTGTAGGTGCGTGAGCGTGTGTGAGCGAGTGTGAGAGTGAGTGGGTAGGCGAACGGCCGGGTGAGCATGTGAGTGGCTGAGCATGCGAGTAATCCGAGAGTGGGAGGGCGAGCGGCCGGGTGAGCGGCGGGGTGAGCGGCGGGGTGAGCGAGACCTTGATGAATTCGAGGAACGCGGGACGCGTGGCGCTCGCCTTGCGCACAATCTCCATGGCCGTGCTGAAGTTGCTCACGTACTCGCTGTACACGTCCTGCACCATGGAGCGCGAGAACTACAGCGACATGGAGACAAGGATCCCCCCCACCCGGTGGAGCGTCAGCCCAGACTGTTCGGGGCGAGTGCCGTTTAGCGAGAAACTACGATGTCACGAGGGAGCGGGCGGTAAACACCACTTCCGATTGTGAGGCAGAGAGACACGCAAGATAGAGACGAGCGAGCCCCACCGAGGCGACGAACACGTCACCGATGGAGTCGGTGAGCTCCCACTGGGCGACGCGGCTGCCCAGCGCGATGTGGAACATGCAGTGGCACTGCAGGAGGTCGCGCACGCCGCTGAAGACGGCGCGCACCTTCCGCTCGCTCAGCAGCCGGCTCTCACCCTCCAGCAGGGGCAGCTCGTACCGCTGGGGGGGGGAGGGTGCAGGAGAGAAGGGGGGCGGCCGGGATGATAGTTGGGCGAGGGGGGGGGGGTGAATGAAAATTAGCGAGGGTGCATGGGGGAACGGCGGGGTAGTGGTTAGCGCGCTGCGCTACGAACCTGGCGACCCGAGTTCAATTCCCGCTCATGGCCGACACCGGTGACGATTATCTGAACCGGTCCTGGGCCTCCCCTAGGTCGACTTAGCTTTAAAATTAGTACCTAGTGCGATGTATAAACATCGCAACTGGGGAGACAAAGGCGGCCGGGCGTGGTGCTGGCCACCTACCCTATTCGTGTGCCGTGCCGGCCTTCATAGCACTTGCCCCTACAGTGTGTTTAGGCTACAGGGGGGATCTTTGTCTTATTTGTGTGCGTGAGTGAGTGCTCACCGTGTGGATGTCCTTCAGCGTCTGCACGTAGCTTTTCTCGCTCTCCACAATCGAGCCGAGGATGTAGCGACGCTTCAACTGCTCAACCACGCGGGGTGACACGGGGAGACGCAGGCGGAGATGATGAGCGTGAAGACAGGAGGAGTAGGGGGACGTGGAGAGACAAGGGGAGATAGGGAGACGGGGCGAGACTCGGGAACGACATGGCGGAGACACACGGGGGAGACACGAGGAGAGGGAGATGCTTGGGGTTGTGCTCTGTGAACGCTGAGGTGACGTACAGAGTGCGGTGGGGGGCGGTGAGGGGTCGTGGGGCTGTTTAGGGGGTCAGGGTGGGAGGGTGGGGGGCCCCTGCCTGCTGTTGGGAGAGGCCTGGGGGAGCGGGCCCCAGGGTCAGCGTCTCCATCTTCACATCCAGCTGCACGTCGTCCTCGTCCGAGGCCGCCGGTCGCCCTGGGGTCAGAGGTCAGGGGTCAGAGGTCAGGGATCAAGGCCCGGGCTCCACCTTCACTTACAGCGCGCCGTGCGTTGCGCGTCATCCCGAACCCGTTCCGTCGCGACATTCTAGCCTAGGAGACCCACCCCCCCAGTGGCAGCCGTCCCTACGCGGCACCGGCTGCACGTCCACGCAGGTCGAGGGCGGGCGTTGGACGTGGACCGCAAACCTCCGCAGTGGGCGGCAGTCGTGCTCCCCACCCACAGCTCGATCACGTGACTGCTCGGCCATCATGTCGCCGGCACATGGCTCTAACCACCAGCGCGACCCCCGAACCCGACCCCCGAGCGTGACCCCCGAACCCGACCCCCGAGCGCGACCGACCCTGGCTCTGGGAGATGAGCGAGGTCCTCTGCATGAAGAAGCGCCCGCGCTTCAGCACGGCCGCCTTTGTCTTCTCCAGCTTCTCGAGGCCGTCCTTGGTGCCATCCCGCGCGGCCCGCATCAGCTCCTGCACCTGCACCGCCGCCACAAGCGCCGCGGGGCACGCCCAGGCGCTACAGGTTCACCGAGCGCTGGTGGCCGGCAGACGCCACCACCACCACCACCACAATCGCCGACACCACCACAGACAAAGCTCCCCCCGCTCTCTGTAGTCTTAACAGACTCTTGGGGCGAGAGCTGTTAGTGAGTAGTGCCTACGGTTGGTGGCCACCACCGCTCCCAGCTGCCTTTGCGAATTTTTACACACAACGCACCAGGTACTCATTTAAGGCTGAGTCGACCCAAGTGAGGCCCAGGACCGGTTCAGATAGTCATCACCGACGTTGGCTGTGAGTGGGGTGGGCGGGTTCGTAGCGGCGGCGCGGCAACGACTGCGCCACCTCTCCCCCATCACCACCACGTCCACCACATCCACCACGTCCACCTCTTCCACCACCTCCACCACCTCCACCACATCCACCACTTCCACCACATCCACCACCACGTCCACCACGTCCACCACCACCACCACCTCCACCACATCCACCACGTCCACCACCTCCACCACGTCCACCACCTCCACCACCTCCACCCGCGGACTCACCGGTCGGCGGGACCTGCGGAGGTTGGCGGGCAGGGCGAGCGCCCCCCCCGTGCGGGGTGGGCGCCCCTCCCCCTCGGCGCCGTCCTCGTCGCTGTAGCTCTCGAACTCGCTGGAGCTCCAGCCCTCGCTGCCTGAGCCGCGCGCGCCGCCCCCGCGCCCCTCCGGGCACACCGCGTCGTAGATGCGGTCCACACCTACGCCAGGACAAATGGTCCCCCGCCCACCCGCCCACACCCGCCCGCGTGCAGCCTTGAGAGATCGGTGGGGCAAGTGCTATTAGCCTCTTCCACTTCCTCTTTCGTACGGATTCGTGCCGGCAGATTAAACGATGCAATTTTAGATTTGTTATCCGCTCAATTGTCTCGTCCGTTCCTCCTTTAAAGGAGTGAAGGCAGCGGGGAGTGTTTACAATGTGGTCGACGGTTGTTCAGCGAGCAGCACCTATGAAGGCCGGCACGGCGCACGAAGCCTTGTGTGTCTGCCCCAGCGGTGACATTTCACACAGTGCACCACGTGCTGATTTAAGGCCGAGTCAAACCTGGGGGAGGCCCAGGACCGCGTCAGATATTCCGTCAACGATCTTTGGCAGCGGGCAGGAAATCGAACTCGGGTCGCCGGGTTCGTAACACAGTGCACTAACCACTGCACCACCGCTCCCCAGGCGAAGAGATTACACTGATGATTACAGTCGTGATGATGACCACGATGATGACGATGAAAGCGATGATGACAGTGGGGGTGTGAGTGACGTGCCGACGAGGTTAACCTGATAAGGTGGGGCTCTGTGCCTCTATAGGAACGTCGTCATAGATGACTTCGTGAAGCTCATCTCTCGCGGCACCCTGAGTCCCGCTCACATCCTCATCATAGCCAGACCTGCACTCACCACAGGGCACAGACCACACTCACCACTCGCCACCATGACACTCACCACTCACACACGTGCTCACCACCGTGACACTCACCACGGGGAACAGACCAACCTCGACACCCAACACCCAAACGGAATCAATCTGTATTTGTCTTAGAAAAATCCGATGAGATGTGAAGCTCTTTTTCACAGATGTCCAGTAGGGGCACGGGGTCAGAAACACTGAGACTCACCTCTTACACTCACCTCTCACACTCACCATCCCCGACAACTCACCACGGCACCAACCACTCACCAGCCACTCGCTCACTCTCACTGTCACGCTCACCACTCCGGGGCCCCCTCACCCCAGCCCTGCCTCACCGCCCCTCGCTCACCGCTCTCTCTCCACGGGGAGGCGCACCGAGTCGTCCCGCAGGGGGGGGGTCGGGTCCCCACCGCCCGGGACCCCCCCCGCCGTCTCCAAGGGGGTTGTGGGGAGCCGGGGGCCAGTGGGCGAGAGTGCATTGGTTGGGGTGAGCGTGGTTGGGGGGGTGAGTGTGGCGGTGGTGGGTGTGGCAGTGGTGGCGGTGGGTGTGGCGGTGGTGGCGGTGGTGGCGGTAGTGGTAGTGGTGGTGAGTGTGGTAGTAGTGAGTGTGGTAGTGGTGAGGGCGGCGGTGGTGGTGAGTGCGGGGTGCGGTGTGCGAGTCTCCACGTTATCGCCCTCTTCAAAATCAAACATCTCTCCCTCCTCCTCTTCCTCCTCCTCATCATCGGCATCTTCTTGTGTGGGGTCACCTGTGGAGACAACGGATAGAAATCCTCAACCGTCTCACCCCGAGTCATCACCGTCATCGGCCGTGCTCAATCCACTGCTAGACAAAGGCCTCCCTACCCCCAAGACGTCGCCGCCTCTCGCAATTCCGCGATGCACCAATTCTCCCCCTTCCTCCCCCCCTCCCCCCCCACCGGGCGCTCTCTCCACGCCAACCGATTTCACCGCTCCATCTCCCCGACGGGCGTGCTCGCGGGCGATTCGCTGGCTGCCACCGCGGTTATTAAACGTTGACCGCCGTTTCAATTACGGGGGAGGGAACCAGTGAATGGGAGCAGGAGGATGAGAGAGAGGAGAGTGGGAGGAGGGGTGGAGGGAGAGGTGGGGGCCAGGGGAGGGATGGGAGGAGAAAAGGGGAGGAGGGAGGGGGGAGAGATGGGGGGGGGGGCAGGGGGGGCGGGGGTGGGGGCAGCGGGTGAAGAGGGGGGGGGTGTTGTTTTGCACATGCTGCCACCGCCCTAATTGTTGTGATGTCACGGCTGCCACGGCAACCGTGTAATTGGGAACGCGGCTGCGTGCATCGCCTTGGCAACCGCTCAAGCCTCTAATCACGGCGTTGCGGTCCCCGGGGCGGGGAGAGTAGAGTGGGGGGGGCGGGGGGGGGAGAGCGGGGGGGGGGAGAGTGGGGGGGGGGAGAGCGGGGGGGGGCAGACAGAGACGGAGGGGGGGGGGGTGAAACAGAGAGACAGGGAGGCAGAGAGAGATAGGGAGACAGGAGGAGGAAAAGGGGAGCAGGGGAGGGAGGGGGGGAGCAGGGGAGGGAGGGGGGCAGCAGGAGACAGACGGAGCGGGGGTCCGGTCACCTGTCTGGGCGGCGACGGGGGTCTTTGTGGGGTCCGCAGTCGGGAACCCACGGGGACCGGAGCCATAGTCGGGGGGCGGAGGCGGGGGGGGGTCCGTGTCTGTCGGTGGGGACGGGTGGGGGGGGTAGTCTGTCGGGGGGGGGCGGGGGGGGGCGCGGAATGGGGGAGTCACGACTCAGCCGGTTCCATCCAAACCTCGCAGACAAACACCGCCACCCCCACCTGTCAATCACGTGCAGGCCACTCTCACCGCCTCCTGTGGGGAGGTCGAAGCGACCTGGGGGAGGAGGGTCGCAGTGACCCAGCTAGGAGGTCAGGCAGCGGTCGGGCAGGATGATGCGCACACTCACACACTCATATACACTCATACACACTCATACACACTCACACACTCATACACACTCATACACACATACACACTCACACACACTCACACACACTCACACGCACACATACACACTCACTCACACACACTCACACACACACTCATACACTCACACACTCACACACAGTCATACACACTCACACACACACACTCATACACACTCACACACACTCAGACGCACACTCACACACACTCACACATACACTCACACATACACTCACACGCACACATACACACTCACTCACACACACTCACACACACTCATACACTCACAGACTCACACACAGTCATACACACTCACACACACTCACATACACTCACACACTCACACACACTGTCACACACAATCATACACACTCACACTCACATACTCACACACACACTCACACACACACTCATATACACTCAGGCAGCAACCGCATGCACGCAACTCAAAATACATTCATACCCAGAGAGGAACACACGCTCCCATACTCGTACACACACACACAAGCTCACATACTCGTACACACACACACAAGCTCGCATACTCGTACACACACACACAAGTTCACACTCCTACACTCGTACACACACACACACACGCTCGCACATTCGTACAAAAATACCCCGTATAGCCTTAACCGGCTGTTGGGGCAAGTGCTGTTAGCGAGCACCTATAAAGGCCGGCACGGCACACGAAGGGAGTGAGTGGCCAACACCACGCCCGGCCGCCTTTGTCTCCCCAGTGACGATGTTTACACACCGCACCAGGTACTCATTTGTGGCTGCGTTGACCTACGACAAGTTCAGATAATCGTAACTGGTATTGGCCGTGAGCAGGAATCTAGCCGCCGGGTTCGTAGCTCAGCGCAGTGACCGCTACACTACCGCTCCCCACACACAGATACACTCACACGCAACAGGCGTACAGACACAACACAAAGACACGCGCACGCACACTCAGCGCATAGTTTCTCGAGATACCAATCGTTGATTGAAAGATTCTCATTGCAAAACTTCCGTTGCGCGAGTCGCTGTCTTTTTGATGTTGTTAATCATAAACACTTCTGCAGCACTGGTTCAGGGTAACGTCGCAGTTCAAACTATTACACCTATAAAACTAGTTTTTATTTTACCAGGCAAGGCCCGCTGAGCGAAAAAGCAACTTTTCAAAAACGACCTGGGTATCACAAAAGATAGCTCAACCCGAGTGTCATCACGTGGACACTTATAGCGAAACGTCGTACTACTCAAAAATTGTAAATGTTGTGGTTTCACGCTTCAACATGCTGGTGGGCTAAAGTAGTGAACTATTTTGTCTTTTGTCAACGTGACACTTTTTTGCTGATTGGCCGTGTCGGGTGGTGGAGGGTTACGACACATTTATAAATAACGCGATCTAACCCAAAAACGTTGATTATGAATTTATAGCAGCCAAATAATCTAAACGCGTCATTTTGATTAAAAATGCAGAGGGGAAGAACTGGAAGACCCGGGGTAAAAAACACACGCGACCACGGGGAGAAAGGCACGCAAACTCCAAACATACAGCAGGCGTCAGGGTCGGGATCGAACCCACGACCTCCTGTATACCAGGCGAGGGAGTTAACATCTCACAACCGCCGCAAACATTGAGGCTCTGGTGGTGACAGCACTCCAAACTCCGCCCACACCCCCAACAAAAATAAATAAATTTCACTCTCCCAGTGTCAAAATCGGGAGAGAGAGGTCAACAGGTCACAGTTCTTGCTCGGACCAGACGTGTGCCCAAGATGTGCCCATGACGGAACAGGGCGTTGGTAAATCTCACCCCCCCCCCACGCCAAAGCGATTTCCTGCACAACAATGAGTATTACATCAGCGCTCCTTTACCTCTTTACAGCCCTGGGCCGCCAGCAGTGGCAATTCCACAATTCTATGGCGGGGCTGGGGGGAGAAGGCGGGAACGACAGCGAGTCTCTATCCATAGGGATGGACAATCACTCTCTGACAACAAGCCCATGGGCTGAACAGAACACCTCGCAGACTCCCAGGATCCACTGCCGAGCTGATCTGCCCCGTCCCGTTGCCAATCGAAGTCATCCGTGTCGCGAGCAACTCACGACCAGGCGGGGACATCAAAGCCACCGGACGAAGACGTCTTCCGTCAGCCCGCGAGGCGTCGCCACCACGGCCACGACCCTCCAAGTCGCGCCGGGTCTCACCGTGGTGCCTACCTCGCCTGGTACACAGGAGGACCACGTGGGTTCGATCCCTGACCCTGACGCCTGCTGTATATTTGGAGCTTGCGGTGTCTCTCTTTCTCCGTGATCGCGTGGATTTTACTCCGGGTTTTTCGCCTCAACGTTTAGAACCGAAGTGCGTTTAGAGCGTTTGGCTGATATACATTTCCACGTGATGATGAAAAGCCACTTCGTTGAGCTATTGTTGGTGATAGCCAGGTCGCCTCTGAAAAAAAGCTACATAGCTCGGTGGGGTCTTACCTGGTACCATTAACAAAAATAGTTTAAATAGTCTCCAGCGGGGGCACACGCACCTCCAACCACCACCACCACCATTCCTCGTCAACAACAACAACCGCCATCCGCCACAAAGCGGCGGTGACGTCACCACGGCGCTCGTGCCAGGCTACGTGCACGTTAAGGCCACGTGAAGTGTCGAACGCCCGCCGGCAGGAGGTCACGTGGCAGACCCAACCGGTGCCAAGGGTCGACTGACTTGAGATGACTGGCCGACGCACCACCCGTGCCCCCTACTGTGCCAGCTCGTCTCTCCACACGCGCGTACACACACACACACACTGGCGTATACACTCACGTGCACACAAAGACACACACACACACAGATGCAGGTTTCCCTTCACGCGGGAGTCGTAGATGCGTTCCAAAAAGTAAGGGCGCACCGAGCGAACCCGCACGAGACAGCTGCCTGCCGAGCAGCGCGCACGGCACACACAGTGAGAAACCTGAACATGCTTGACACAGATAGACACACACAAGCGCGTACAGACACACACACGCACAGATAGACAAATAGGTACACACACAGAGGCGTGCACAGATAGACACACACGCACAGATACGACAAATACACGCACAGATAGATAGATACACGCAGAGATAGACACACATACAGATACACGCGCACAGAAGCGCACACACACAGATAGACACATACACAGGCGCACACAACAGACACGCACAGATAAATGCAGTACACAAGACACGCAGGTACGCATATAGATGCGCAGACACAGACAGAAACACATACAGAGAGACAAACACATGAAGACAAAGTTCCCCTTTCGCCGTGAACAGACCGTGACGGCAAGTGCTATTAACAAGCCCCTAAGAGGAAGTGTTGTGGCCGCATTTGTCTCCCCACTGGTGATGTTTACACACCACACCAGGTACTCATTGAAGGCCGAGCCAACCTACGGCATGTCCAGGACCATTTCGGATATTCGCGACCGACGTTGACCACGACACGACCGCTCCTCACACACAAAGACACACGCACAAAGACAAAAACACAAAGACAGACTCACAGACAGACTCACGGACAGACTCACGGACAAGGACACCGCGTCCCTGCGTGACCTTCCCCGTGTCACCACTACGCTGCTCACGAGAACTCATCGCATGCAGTCAACAGGCCAGCCGCTCCATCACGCGCCAGCGCGCAGGTGACACCCGGTAGTGGTACAACCCTCACCTGGCTCCCCTCACCTACACCCCCCTCTGGTAGTGGTACAACCCTCACCTGGCTCCCCTCACCTACACCCCCCTCTGGTAGTGGTACAACCCTCACCTGGCTCTCCTCACCTGGACACCCCCCCTCTGGTAGTGGTGCAGCCCTCACCTGGCTCCCCTCACCTACACTCCCCTCTGGTAGTGGTGCAGCCCTCACCTGGCTCCCCTCACCTGGACACCCCCCTTGGTAGTGGTACAACCCTCACCTGGCTCCCCTCACCTGGCTCCCCTCACCTGGCTCCCCTCACCTACACCCCCCTGGTAGTGGTACAGCCCTCACCTGGCTCCCCTCACCTGGACACCCCCCTTGGTAGTGGTACAACCCTCACCTGGCTCCCCTCACCTACACCCCCCTGGTAGTGGTACAACCCTCACCTGGCTCCCCTCACCTACACACCCCCCTGGTAGTGGTACAACCCTCACCTGGCTCCCCTCACCTGGACACCCCTCTGGTAGTGGTACAGCCTTCACCTGGACACCCCTCTGGTAGTGGTACAACCCTCACCTGGCTCTCCTCACCTGGATCGCCCTGATGGGAGTGGTACATCCCAGGGGTGTAACGTTACGTCTACTCGCGAGAATAACATCGATCATTAAGCTCACGATTCAAACACCGAGTCTCGCGTGCAAGAATCAACGCGACGTTCATCCACGTGTGTCACTAGAGGCCGCTACATTGAAAAAATATTGATTATATTTATTGAAACCATCTGCAACATTTCACAGTATTGCGCTCGGGCGGTTTAATCGTTACACCATAGCCCCCCCTCTCCCCTTTGCCCCCGCACCCCACTTCAGTAATGATAGCCCCCCCCTCGCTTACAATAATGGTTGAGCCCCACCTGCGGGCCCACTTGTCATGAGCTGCACAGGTGGGCGTTGTTTCAAGAAGAGAGATGCGTCCGTGCAAGTCCTGAACCAAGCCCAGCCCTCCACCTCCTCAATGTCATCCTCCCTTCTCTGCGGTTTCCTCATCCTCCTCCCTCCCTCCTTCTCCCCATGACTCCCATCTCCACCCCCCCCAGAGTTCCATTTTATTCCTCCCCCCGGCTCCCTCCCCCCTCCTCCTCTTCCTAGCCCCCCCCCTTCTGCTGCCCCCCCCCCCGTGGGTCCCCGTTCGGGGTCTCCCTGCCCACAACCCGATGCCCGGGGTCACGTGAGTCACAGGGGTTGTGGTGGGGGGGGTCACGGGGTCACGGGGTCACTTACCGGCGGGCGGGGGCTTAGGGGGGGGCACGACGCCCTCGCAATCCTCCTCCATGTGTGAATCGAGGCTGGGCGAGGTGTGGGGAGGAGGTGGGGGGGGCAGGTGGGGGGGGGCAGAGGAGGAGTTGGGGGGCTCAGTGGGAGCCGTGAATCTCGATATCCTGGGGGGGTCGGGGGGGGGCGGCACAGAAGAGAAGAGGGTCATCGTCGGCGGGAACGGCCATTCCCCAAACAACCCCCCCCCCACACCCCAACCATCGCAACGTCGTAATCACCGTCACCATCTTTCGCGATGCTGCGATGTAGCAACCCAGCTTCACTTCAGACCCAACGCGTCTCTGCAAACCATGAAAATCTCACCACGAGTGGAGAACGCGCGCAGCAAGCAGGCAGCAAGCGGGCAGCAAGCAGGCAGCAAGCGCGCAGCAAGCGCGCAGCAAGTGCGCAGCAAGCGGGCAGCGGACGAATGTAAACACCGTGGACAAGTCAGAGGGAGCGGCGTTCATGCCCACAAGGTGGTGGGTGACATGATGTGCCTGAAAGGCCCCACAGCACCACCGATGCCCAACTCCGACCCCGTGACCCCCACGTACCAGAATGACCCCCCACATTCCGACATAACAGTCTGTTAGGGTCACGCGTATCTAGTGGCGCTCTGTGTTCGCTTCGACCGGCCTCCAGGGGTCATGCAAAAGGGGTCACGGCTCACGACGGCCACCCCAGCCCGAGTTCACCACTCGATCCTGCATCCTCCTCCCTCCCCCTTCCTCCTCTCCCTCCCTCCCCCTTCCTCCTCTCCCTCCACTCTCCTCCCCTCACTCCTCTTCCTCACCGCCCTCATCTTCCTCCAGCTTCTCCCTCCACTCTCCTCCACTCCCTCCTCTTCCTCACTCTTCTCCCTCCACTCCCCTCCTCCCATCCCCACCCCACTCCACTCCTTGCTGGCAACCACATCAAATTCCTGAGCGTGCGTGTGCGGAGAGCAGCACCCCACCCACACACACGCTCTGTGTATGCATACATCTACAGTACGCATTGTACACAATTTATATACACACACACCGTGTACACACACACACGCGGTGTATCCAATGCAGACACATCTTGTGCACACACACACACAGCGTATACACACAGCTACACGCTTTGTGTATAAAAACTTACACACGCCGTGTATGCAATATATTGTACACACTGTGTACATACAGTGTTTACAATACACACACAGTGTATACAATACACACAGTATATACAATACACAGTGTACACAATACACACAGTGTGCACAACACACACAGTGTACACAATACACACAGTGTACGCACACAGCAGCAAAGCACACCTCCCATCATGTCACGTGACCACCGCGTTGCACGTACAACGCTCTCCGCCTTGCCCAGACCACCAGCGCAAGAGAGCTGAGCGAGTGTGGCCGTGCGAGTGTATACACCGCCAGCTTCCACGTGAGCTGCAGACCGGTTTCATCCCCGTTAGGACTCATCAGTGACAACGCAGTCATCAACGCGCAATGCTGCCGCGGTGGGCGAGCCCATATGTGTCAAAAACTAAAACATCTTGGCTGTTATTTTTGATCTTCACTGCGACCTTTACTTTACCCGCCCGGCGTTCCACCCGTTGCTCTGAGCGCGGCTCCACCGCCCCACGTTGTTGCCGGAGGGCGAATGCCTCCGACTGCTCAGCAAGCACTTTGACAAACCTCCTCCTCACTCAAAGGCCGATCTCGACACCGCTGCTCGCAGTCGTCGGCAACTCGACTCGGCTCCACATCCTCCCGTGCCGCATCAGCCCAGCTCCTCTCTCGAGCCCGTACCACGCCCGTTTAGCCCCCCTCCTCCTCCTCCTCTATCCGGTCAAACAGATGCTTCAAACAGCACACAAAAAGCACCCGGCCTTTGTGCATTATGCAAAAAGCCGTCAGCAGTTGCTGAAGAATTTCATTGTCGATCCCCTTGTCTCGCTCGTCAGCAGCACAGCAAGGAGGATGGAAACGAGTCCACGGTTGTGTCTGCATCGCTGCTTGCCTGCCTGTCAGTCGGTCGAATTGACTGACATTTATTTCGATGGTGGCCTACAAGAAGAGAAGCACGGTGAAATTTATCGAGGAACCGGTTGATGTTTTTTGCATAAAACACAACAAAGGCGGAGTGCGTGTTGTACTGGTTCTTGTGTCTGCCTGTTATTTGAAACTTGTGGTTTTCCAGCCAAAATGTTTTATTTTTCAAGATTGTATCACGCAGTTTCGAGTTTCAAGCTCGACGTTTGACGAGGTGAGAGCTCAGAGAGAGACCAGGATAGAGAAGTCTGGCTTATTTGCGAAAGGAACCTGGGTCATTAAAGTCTGCCTGCCTGTCGGGGGGGATTACTGCTGTGGCAGCAATCGAAAGAGGCTGTCGCGTGGCATCGGCTGATTCTGATAAATAAGCAACATACAATAACATACGAACAACACACAATCTATCATCTTATCCTAAACGAATCCCGCACTGCGGGTAGTTCCACGACTTCAGATGCGCATCGCAGACACTTTAAAGATTTGGTTAATCGTAAGGCATAATCGAGAAGTGTGGTGTTTTTTTTGCTTGTGTTCGGGCATTGTTTGTCAATTCGGAATTGGGCCAAGGGCTCCAACCACAGTTCAACGTTGGCTTCAACGTTGGCGCGGGAGACATTCCCGTCAAGCACCGAGGCGTACTCGGGCGAACTACGAGGAACCGACTCACCCCCCCCCCCCGACCCACGGCGACTGCCGCAGTGGTGGTGCATTGTGCCCAGAGGTCGCAACCGGGTACCCGATACCCGTACCCTACCCGATACCCGGCTACCCGTACCCGGCCAGGTACGGGTACCCGTTTGCGACCCTGGTGCGGCCGGGTACGGGTACGGGTAGGCCGTGAGTCACTGGTGAGTAACCGTTTGTCACTCATTTCGGGTAGGGTACGGGTACGGGTAGGGAACGGGTACCCGTACCCGGCCAGGTACGGGTACCCATTTGCGACCCTGGTGCGGCCGGGTACGGGTAAGGAATCAAAACCCGTTTGCGACCTCTGGTTGTGCCGCATGGACGTGTCACGAGGACACTGCCCCATTGCATTCAATTAAGCCGCACAAGTATTGTCTGCAAAACTAGAGATCGTTCTGTAACTCCAAATCAACGCCCGATATGTATAATGAATCATACTCTTAGGTACGTGACTTTACCGAAAGAACCAAAGAGTATGGATTCGTGCAGTCACGAAAGCTTCAAATAAAGAATGTCTGATTGCCTGCGAACCAAATTGTATTCTGTTCCCACACATGGCAGCAAGATGTCCAGGAACTTGATGCCAATGTCGAGGTCTGCTGCTGCTGGCCAAGACGAGAAGGCTTCAGCAGAGAGACAGAGAGAGACAGAGAGACACAGACAGAGAGACAGAGAGAAACTGAGACAGAGAGTTCGTGTCGTGTCGCTCTTCTTCCTCCACATCCTCCTGCCTTGACGGAGCGCAGGCCACAGTTTGTTTGAATCTCTCGAAATTGAGAGAAATAAATGTAATTTTAACCGTTCGGATAGCTACAGGCTCAGTGCTGCTTGGAAGAGAATCATCAAATAATACATTGTTTAAATGCATGCCTAAACAGGTCACCTACGTCAATGGGGATTACCTGTACACAGACTAATAACAGGTGCTGCTATTTTATTTCACGCAAACTGCAGGAGGTACAAAAACAATGTCCATGCATAATGTAAGCTGATTACCATATGAATAACCCAATCGGAAATGGATACCCATTGTAATTTATATACATTTATTAATCTCCCCCCCCTTCGCATGTGAAGGGCTCACAGGTGACGTCATCGCATCTACCCCTCTATTTAAAAAACGAAGCATCTAGCCGTCCGCCTGATGAAGCTAGTTGTAATTACTGGCGAAACGTCGTACTCAGATTGTAAATGTTGTCGATTTGCTCTCCAACACACCGGTGCTGCTGTACTAGTGACGAATTGGCACGTTCTGTTTACGTGACAAACCTTACTAATTGGCTGTGTCGGGTGGTGGCGGGTTTAACGACACATTTATATATTTACGCGTTCTAACCCCCCAAAAAAAGCGATATTATGCACAGTGAGTTTACTGTGCGGTCCGTAGCTTGAGTTTCATCGCCCATAAATCTTTGGACCTCTATGCACAACATTTCTCTGTGTCTCTCTGTATCTCTGTGTGCCTCCATGGGTTGTTAATAAATGGTCCAGAGTTGTGGCTGCATAGCCACACTCACGCTCCTGTGGATTTGTGTCTGTGATGCCCCAAATCGTGATGGAGACGCGGTGCAGCGTCGGCCTGCCGATGTTGTTCCGATGAGGAAACTGTTTGGTGGGAGACGGAATTCTTAAACTCAACCAACACGGCTCATGTTGGTAGTTGTATCTAAGGTGAGGACGCCGTCAATTCGAATGGTCGTCGTTATTTCGAATTAAAATATGAACCAAACGACCAGGAACGCACCCGATCTCGTGAGATCTCGGAAGCTGAGCAGGCGTGAGCCTGGATAGTGCTTGGCTAGGCGACCGCTATGCACGCCAGGAGACCTGGCCTGGATTGGAACCCAAGATACGTACGAATTTTCCCCACCGTACGTAGCAAATCGTTCAAATCGGAGGTGTGGGGGGGGGGGGTAAGGACAACAAACTAAACACAAAGCAAACAAACTAAACACAAAACGCAGTTCTAACGAAATGCGTTTTCAACCTAAAAGTGCGTAACTCCAGTGACTTCCTAATATCAGAAGTAAGGAAGAGCGTTCCAGACGGCCACAGAAGCGCATCTTCAAAGCACGTGATGTGGTGAGCACCCTCTTTGTTCGATGGTTAGCCAAACGCTGCCGCTGCTGCTGCTGCTGCGAGAATGAGCGGAGCACGCGTGATGATGGTTAATGCTCCGTGACGAGATCAGCGAGGTGTAAGGTCATCTGAGTGGTGCCAGGCTCAGGGCGCTGACCTCTGAGCTACCTCCGTCACCGTGTGCATGGCGAGCACGGGAACTAACTATTCGATTAATCGGATATCACCCGTGTCTATTGAGTCCTGTCTTCCTCACCATTACCTCCCCTCCACACTCACCAGTCTTCCATCCTCATCTCTCTCACCTCACCTCCACACTCACCAAGCTCCCATCCTCATCTCTCTCACCTCACCTCCACACTCACCAATCTCCCATTCTCATCTCTCTCATCTCACCTCCACACTCACCAAGCTCCCATCCTCATCTCTCTCACCTCACCTCCACACTCACCAGTCTTCCATCCTCATCTCTCTCACCTCACCTCCACACTCACCAAGCTCCCATCCTCATCTCTCTCACCTCACCTCCACACTCACCAATCTCCCATTCTCATCTCTCTCATCTCACCTCCACACTCACCAATCTCCCATCCTCACCCCCCTCCCACCACACTCACCACCCCCACTCGCCATGACCCACATGGAAATTCTGGCAGCTGCCTCTGTGGAAACGCGGTCGTTTGCCGAGAAAGCGGAGAGGAGAGCGAGGGGAGAGTGAAGGGAGAGTGAAGGGAGAGTGAGGGGAGAGCGAGGGGAGAGCGGGGGGAGAGTGTGGGAGAGTGAGGGGAAAGTGGGGGGGAGAGTGGGGGGGGAGAGCGAGGGGAGAGTTGGGGGAGAGTGCGGGGAGAGTGAGGGGAGAGCGAGGGGAGAGCGAGGGGAGAGCGTGGGGAGAGCGAGGGGAGAGCGGGGGAGAGCGGGGGGAGAGCGGGGGGAGAGCGGGGGGAGAGCGGGGGGAGAGCGTGGGGAGAGCGAGGGGAGAGTGAAGGGAGAGTGAGGGGAGAGCGTGGGGAGAGCGGGGGGAGAGTGA